CGAAAATTTGGTGATAAATTACAAAAAAATTTAATTAAATAAAATTTGAGGATGAAAAATAAATGCAAACAAATCTTTTGAAGGTAAAACTGGAAGAAATGAAATGTTTGCTAGATGAAGGGTTTGTGTTGTTTTTCTTAGAACCTATGTGTTGTATGTGTTGCGTCTGTGTTAGCGTTCATATATATATCTGTGTGTGTGCGTGCGTGTGTGTGGGTGTTTGGGTTCGCGTGAATCTCTATGCGAAATTTCAATTGATTTATGCTGATGTATTGGTTGAAGCGACGATTTAATAACGGTGGATGGCTGATTTGCTGGTTAGATGGATGGTTGGATGGTTGGTTGGTTGGATTGTTGGTTGGCTGGTTTGTTAGTTAGTTGGCTGGTTGGTTGGTTTGTTGGTTGGCTGGTTAGTTGGTTGGTTGGTTGGTTGGTTGGCTGGTTAGTTGGTTGGTTTGTTGGTTTGTTGGTTGGCTGGTTGGTTGATTGGTTGGTGGTTTGTTGGTTAGTTAGCTGATGGTATTGGTAACTTGAAAAGCAAAGCAAAGTTTAGTTCGTGCTCTACAAATTAATAAGATGAATTACTTTTTGAATAAATTCACAGCCAAACAAACTTCTACAAAAGGAACATTCACGTGAGTGTATTTATTTTAATGAAGACGTCGTTCCAGGGGGTGAAATTAATAGAGGATCGTTTGTATTTTCCTTCATTCCATAGATGAATAAATCATCTGAAAATAAAATGGATTTCTTGAATTCGTCATGCGCTTAAATATCCTCATTTCATTTCTACAACATTGTTCAGGGCATGAATGGGTAATGAAAATGATTTCGGTATTCGTATGATTTATTTTGCTTCAACGAATGACGAGATGAATCGTATTGTACTGGTGATGCGTGATATCCATTAGTGATATACTAATGATATATTAGCGAATGTGTGGTATATCTTGATGATAGTTTGATGATGATGAATGATATAAATGATAATTCATGATGATTGTAAATGATATTTTAATGGTAGTGCATTAAAAAATGATAATAAAGAAAGATAAATTAAGGATAGTGCATGATATATATCAGTGATAATGCATGCTGATAGTGAGAATGGTAAATTATGATTTTGAAAGATATTTTAATAATAATGCATGATCAATTTAGATGATGATGAATGATATATCAATGATAGTGCATGATATATCACGACGATGGTCCATCATTAATCAGGATATCATATTTTATTAATGCACGAGGTTAGTGGACTTTGCGGAATATCACTTACACTGGACATTAATAATTCACATCGGTGGCTAGCGATAGTGGCCGTGCTATATGACGTGATTATTATTATTATTATTGTTATTATTATTATTGTTATAGTTGTTGTTATTATTATTACTATTATTATTATTATTAGAGTTGTTTTTGTTGTTGTTATTGTGCTTATAATGATGATTTATTATTTTATGCTTGCGATCAAAATGAAGGACATTACATTTTCACTCACAGAGTTAAACTGCGGCGATTGTGTCGAATGAGTATGGTGATGAACACGTATGGAGATGTATTGTGATGAGTAACTATGTGATGACTACATGATGATGGTACAATGTTAATGCCACCACACCATAAAGTGAACTGTACCACGTAAATTTCAAAAGCGGTGGTGTAATGTTTCTCTTCTTTCAAAAAACAACGTAGTTTCTTTTATTAAACCATCAAGATTGAAAATTAATTTTTTTTTTCAGAAATTTTTAATCAAACAACTTCTAATAAATTTGACCGCATTCTTTTCTGCCAGCAATGTTACACAATGTAAACTTTGCAATCTTCTTCCTTAAACTCTTAAGCTGTAAACATTCAGTGCTGTTTGCCTACACTGAAGAGTTTTTCATTTCAGAATTATTAAGAAACAACGTGCACCGAGCGCACTCGATGAAAAAGTTGCCACGTTAAGAAATTTATAAATACGCATTCTTCAGTCGAGGAAATATTTAAACGAACCTTCTGGAATTAGCGTTAACAACTGCTTACTGTGTAAATCTTCAAACAAATTTAAAAAAGATAATAATTAAAGAAACATATATATCAGTGAATATGATCAGACATGTTTTGCATGGTTCATTGAATATGAAGGATAAAACTTAACGATGTGTAATGCTTTTTCATACCACTGAAACTCTTGCTCGCATACGTGCAAATTTAATTTGTCAGACACATGCAACTATGTAACGTAACCGACTTGGTTACAAATTCGTTGAAGTTTTAAATCATTAAAAAATCTTTTGCATCGTTCCGTGCAAAGAGTACATTATTCATCTGGGAAGAAACATTATAAATGAGGCGGCCATTTTAACGAACCGAATAGTCGGATGTACAACAACTTCAGCTTGATAATATGATTAACTGGAATGTATGGGACGAATGATGATTTGTACTGGGCCGTGAATGTTATTACATTGTGATGTTGAGATCACATGATGTCACATGAGTATGGCGTCATAATGTTACATCGTTGCAATGATATTAAAATGCAATGATATTAACATGTTATATTATGATTTCCACCATTCAAAGTCCAATTAAATTTAATGATTTTCAATACAAAACTCGTGAGAAAATAGTTTATTTGTATTGTGTTGAACAATAGCTATATATTTAATACATTGCACATGAACACATGCAAGTGGGCATTGTATTGTATGCATGTAAAGTTGGCTCTGAAATGAATAACTCACGTAGCAAGCAATAAATAACTTCAATGCAACACTTTCAATAGCTTGATTGCCTTCGTGTAACGAATATGCGATGAAGATACATTGCAAATGATGTTAACGTTACTAACATGCCTATGTATAAAGCAATGATCATAATTGCCCTATATAAACATGCGTTTGAATGTTTAATAATATTATTGATTTTGATTTATTAATGTTCATTATGCTTGCATGTGCAAGTATGATGAGGAATTTTTTAAACAAATTTAGTAGTTTGCACGTTGAAACGTTAAATAAATTGAGGTTTATAAGTTCAAATCTTCTATAGTGCAAAACCCTTTCAACGAAGTTGTTAAAAACAATTCAAACACAGTGGAACGAACACGCACACACGCACGCACACATACTAAATGATTGAAAATGACTAAATAGTAAATAATCATTTATGCAATCAAATCCGGTAAAAAGGCATTGTAAGCAAAGATAAAATGAGAGTTACAAATGTAATACATAATGTTTAATAATAACAAAAAGGAAAGTTATGTTAGAAAATTTTTAGAAATGTCTGACCTCTTCAATGAGAAAAATGTGTATATGTTAAAAAAAGTTGGGTGGTGTTCAAATTTGATGATCCGTCCGTTTCGTACTGGTCGGTGCTCGAGACACTGCAAGACGTATAAGAATGACGTCATCGTCGTTTATGTTCTGTACACGCATGCAAGGAAGGATGGATTAGCAAGTAAATGAGATGACGTGAAGGTTGGATGGATGGATGGATGGATGGATGGATGGATGGATGGATGGATGGATGGATGGATGGATGGATGGATGGATGGATGGATGGATGGATGGATGGATGGATGGATGGATGGATGGATGGATGGATGGATGGATGGATTGTGCAGATGAATGAAAATGTTAAATAAATANACGTGCTTATTTGTAAAGAGAGAAATGGAAGAATGAACGATTAAATGAATGGACGAATGCATGTTTCAAATAGTCGGGCAAACAAATAAATGAATATATGGGATAGATGGATGAACAAACGAATGAACGAATATATAAGATGGATGGATGAACAAACGAATGAACGAATAAATATAAGATGGATGGATAAATAAACAAATGCACGAATGAACGAACAGATAAATAGAGGAATGAAGAGTCCAGCAGCTGAACATTTAAGCTCGTGTTTGTTTTTTTTTCTCAATTGGTCGATATATCTTTTTTATTTTTGTTTTGAAAGTTGCCCCAGCGCAACAAACACATGTCTCAGACCATCTATCTCGCATGTAACCAGCCACCTACACACGCACACACGCGCACACGCGCACACGCACACATATTTACTAGATAGGCAACATAAATCCGTTGCATAAACACAGACAGGCACATTTATAACTTAATACCCCGATCAAAAAATCTAAGACTCAGGTATTAGACACCAAACTAAAACAAATATTGATATCCAGGAAAGATTCAATCAAGGAGTTGTCTTTTAGGTGATGACGTATGAATGACTGAACCTTCAGAAGCTGGTTGTATGTGGCCTGTCAACACTGCATGCATGGCGGTGCGTGGCATAGCAGGGCATGATGCATAGGACGCACGCAGGCCAAACCAACCTCAACAGAGGAACTTGTTATAAAAAGAGTTGTAGGATGAAGAAGTGGGGTGGAAGAAGTGCAGGAGGATGTTTAAGACCCTGCTTGCCAGTTTGACGTGTTGCGATGTTGTTGTGGGTGGTTTTGTGCTGTCGCCTATTACTGTGTATCGTTGATTGTCGTTTTATGTGGTTATGTCTTTGTTGTTGTGTTGTTGTTGTTGTTGTGGTGTTATTGTTGTGTTGTTGTTGTTGCTGTAAATAAAGAGTGTTATGCAACGTAGTATGTTGTAGCGTTCTGAAGTGACATGTCTGCCTAACGCTGTGTTTGATTGTGAGGTGTTGGGATTGAACGTGATGGAGGTCTTGCTTTACAACGTGTCTTTATATATATCTCCAACATGCGAATCCATGTTGGCGTTATATTTGCATTGCACTGCATTCAGTTTCTGCTACTTCAAATTATAATCCGTAACTATGGGGCGGATACTTAATCGGTAATTTATTTTGAGTCAAGCTTCAACAAGAAGTTAACCATTTTTTTTGTATTCCACGACTTTTTAATTTTTCATATTTAACCAGTTTTTCAAACAAATTTTACTACAGGACAGCAATTAAAATAAAAAATTATATTTAATATTTTGTGGAATTTCAACTCAACCTAAAAAATACATCTACTATGGAAAGAACCACAGGACCTTCCTTGGAAGGCCTTTTGCTACTTTGGGATGTTCAAAAAGAACTGTATATTCAATAATGAGATTTGATGTTGCGTCTTTTTTGGTATGCTTTATACAAAGTGTTACCCAACCCGAACTGCATGGGGCAGGCAAATAGAGATACATGCACAACACATCATGTTTTGTTGGCTTTGCATTGTAAACAAGTGCAAAAATATTTCCATTCACAAATAAATGAGTGTGCATAAACAATAATATTCACGCCTGCTGGCATCCACCACACGTGTTTGTGTGTGTGTGTGCGTGTGTGTGTGATGAGTAAACAAACATATATGCATGATCATATGAATAAATAATGTCCTCTACATTAAACACATAATAAGCAAGATGCACAGGGGAGTCAGCCTTTATATATGTGTACGTTAGTGTATGTCATGTAGATTTGTATGTATGTGTGTGTGTATGTATGTATGTATGTATGTATGTATGTATGTATGTATGTATGTATGTATGTATGTATGTATGTATGTATGTATGTATGTATGTATGTATGTATGTATGTATGTATGTATGTATGTATGTATGTATGTATGTATGTATGTATGTATGTATGTGTGTATGTTTGTATGTATGTATGTTAAAACCAAAACATGATGAGTGATACTGAACCGTCAAACATCAAGTAACAAATGGATTAACACTTTGATTTGTCGTTAATTGATGTATGTATGCATGTGTGATGTATGTATGGTGTGTGTGAGTGTGTACGTATGTATTATGTATCTATTTATGTAGGCATGCACGTATGCCCGTATCGTATGCATGCATTAACTTATTGCACACACACACACACACACACACACACACACACACTTACTGCATGTGATAGGTAGGGATTTTTTTGCAATCGAATCCTCTCACCGCAAAAGCAGTGGCAGACACTTTACCTCTGCGCACATACATTTACACATACAGACGCACGCACGCGCGCACGCACGCACGCACGCACGCATGGCCTGTTAACATTGCTCACAGGAGGCATAAACAAAAGGGCGACATCCCTATAAAGAATGTTAATACAGCAGGATTTTAAGTGGATCACGAAAAGCTGAATGTAGATGGAACAATTTGGAACCTCACAATTGGATGCCCAGCATATGCCTGTGTGTATGTGTGTGTTGGTGTGTGTGTGTTTGTGTGTATATGTGTGTGTTGGTGTGTGTGTGTGTGCCAGGTGAATGTGCTGATGTATGTATGGAGTGGTGTTTGGTGTGTGAGGTGTGAAGGGCTGTTATTCTTTCTCATGTGTGTGTGTGTGTGTGTGTGTGTGGGTGGGTGCGTGTGTTTGTGTGTGTGTGTGTGTTTGGAGATAGATTTTAATGTCGTTGTTTGATGAGAGGGAATGATTGATCACTCCCGTCAATTAATCAAAGTGTGTTTATGTGCAAATAAGTGTGTGTATGTGTGTGTTTGTGTATGTGTGTGTGTGTCAGAGTGTGAGTGTCAATTTTGATGTACTTATGAATTTTGATGTGTCTGCCTGTGAATCGTAGAGTCGTTGTTGGAGATGATTTTTGTTACTTTTCATCATTTGCTCGACAATAATGTGCGTGTGTGTGTCGTTACAGTCGGCATTGGTTTCAAGTGCTGCCGTCATTTAATGCTCCTACCGGGTCGGGACCAGGCGCATTGGTACTTTGCAGCATCTCACCGATCATGAATTGCTTCCATGCTTTTTTTAGCTGAACTCTTGAACAGTACAAGTTTTTCTGTTCTGGCGGACTAGGTGAAAGCGAATTCACACGAAATTCCATTACGTTGTGAGTAAATACTGTTTGGTGATCTATATCCAATGTTATCCGGCTGCTGAGAATGTTCAGTTTCCTCTAGTTGATACTCCTAATTTGATAATTGAACAAAGCAATTAAGAAGCAGCCAAGCTTAACAATTTTCATCAAACATTTTTTTTAGAAGATTGGGCTGATATGAACTGATTCAAAATTCAAATTTAAAAAATTTCCAAAAAGAGTAATAAATTTTTTGTTGTAGTTTTCGTCGTTATTGTTCTTATTTTAGCTCTGTTAGTTTGTGCAAAACTTGTTATTTTACGACATTGTACACCCACAACATGAACAACTACATCACGTACAACCACGTACAACATGTTACATCAACAACAAGTTGTCGTTAGTTATAAATTTACGATGGCCACATAAGCAGTTGTTGTTGTTGTTGTTGATGTTGTTTTCTTTTGTTATTGTTGTTGTTGATGTTGTTACGTGGCTCTGATGCAGTTGTTATTGTTTTGTAGTTGTAAAGGAGCTCTGTTTCAAAGCATTGATGATATAAGGAAGGGAAAGTTGAGAGGGGAATGTAGGAAGGAAAAAGGAGAAGAAAAAGAAAGTAAAGGATGGGCGGATGAATTGCTTGTTGTAACGATGGAGGAACAATTGCTTGAAATATGAATTGCTATTATGAAATCTAATCCCAAACTTTTTGCTTTGCTAGGAAGCTCTATAAACAAAGTTTTAAATAAATTTAAGGTCCCTTCAAAATGTGCGTTGTTGTGTTGTGTGTCGGTTGCTTGGCATGTTGTGTTAAACAGAATCTTCATCTCATAAACTACTCATTTCTTTGCTTAACACAGTGACCTAACAATGAACTTACATTCACACACATATATATGCGTTTATAAAAATATAGTTGCATATTTTGGTTGGTTGTTTGGTTGGTTAGTTGGTTGAATGATTGGTTAGTTGGTTGATTGGCTGGTTGGTTGGTTGGTTGGTTAGTTGATTGATTGGTTGGTTGGTTAGCTGATTGGTTGGATAGTTGGTTAGTTGGTTGGATGGTTGATTGATTGGTTGGTTGGTTGGTTGGCTGGCTGGCTGGTTAGTTGACTGATAGGAGAATTATGAAGACTAGTTAAAAGTATTTGCACACCGTTGTCAAATTTCTTTCTTAATCAACACATAAAAAAACCAAACATTTTTTTGTCCAATCCAAAACATAAAATTAATGGCATTACACTACACACGTCTTGAAACACATCATAAAAGACCTTCGCATACATTGCATAAACACACACACGACACACACGCACGCACACACACACGCAGACAAACGTACACACATACACAACTACAAACACATAATCACATACACGCACGCACATGTTCCAAACATATCATATGCCCTTCTGTTACTTTGGTGTTTTACATTTTTATGATGTTTTGAGTTTACAAGTTGTTTCTGCTTTAGATGTGAAGTGTGTGGTTTGGCGGCTGTAGTATGGTGGGGTGTGGTGGTATGTTGATGTGGTGTAATAGTAATAGTAGTAGTAGTGGTAGTAGTAGTGGTAGTAGTAATAGTAGTAGTAATGGTAGTAGTGGTAGTAGTAATAGTAATAGTGGTAGTAGTAGTAGTGGTAGTAGTAGTAGTGGTAGTAATAGTGGTAGTAGTAGTGGTGATAGTAGTCGCAACAGAGGTCGTAGAATAATAACGATAATAATAAAGAAACAATTTGTTGTTATTGTTGTTATTGATGTTATTGTTTTTATTGATGTTATAGGGTTTGTTGTTATTGTTTTTTGTTGTTATCATTATTGAAGCAACTTTGAAACTTCCGTTATAGCATCGGCACTCCTTCGATGACGTCGACTTCCTCAAGAAATAAAAAAGCACACTCGACATTATTTTGCAGAATAAATAGAATATTTAATGACGCAAAAACTCCTTCAAAAATATTTCCTCTCTCTTTCACATTGCCAATTCTCTCTTCTTTCACTCACCTCGCCCACATCTTTCAATTCATCTATCCATCTGTCTATCTGTCCGTCCGTTTGTCCATTTATCCACTCATTCCTCCATCAATCTATCTATCTTGCCGCCTATCCATCTATCTATCCATCAATCCAATCCACTCATTCCTCCATGCAGGTGTCTATCTTTCCGTCTATTTATCGATCTATCCATCTATTTGATGCATCTTTTCATCTACCCACTCCTCCACTAATCTATCTATCAATCCATCTATCCATCCATTCACCTATTCCTCCATCCATCCATCCCTTCATCCATCCATCCCTCCCTCCATCCATCCATCCATCAATCATCCATCCATTCAACTTAATTTTTATGCGGACATCCGCGAGTCATAACGGCATACAAATTATCTTTGCTCTGATGTTTTATAACAACAACAGTGATGATGATGATGGTGATGATAATAATAATAATAATAATATTATTTATCCGCTTATCCATGTAATAATAATAATAATAATAATAATAATATTATTATTATTATTATTTATCTACTTATTCATAAAATAATAATAATAATAATAATAATAATATTATTATTATTATTATTATTATTATTATTATTTATCTACTTATTCATAAAATAATAATAATAATAATAATAATAATATTATTATTATTATTATTATTTAGTTTATTGTATGTTAATATATATTATTTTATAATTTCAGTTATCAATTTTCTTTGTGTTTTTTTTTTCATTTCAATCCCCCCCAACATTTCTTTCCTTCCATCGACCGACGCTGTTTCACATTTCAGTGCTGTTTTAAATGTTGTTGTTTGTTTGATTCTTTCGGCTTCTTTGTATTTTAATTCAATTCAAAATCTCTTACAAGTATTATGTCATTCTTATGTCATTCTTAGTTCTAACATGAATTGGAGGTCGCCCAGTAGAAGAGCCATTCATCATAATTGGGCAAATAGTAGCATATATACATATATATATATATTTATATATATATGTATATATATATATATATGTATATATATATATTTCTCGTTTGAATGGTTGGAGACTTCTGATTGTTGACGACTAGTGTGTTATGGTGGTGTTTGTGTATGTGTGTGTGTGTGATAGCTGGATGTTCAGCTTATTTGTTTTTGCTTTTCTTGTTGTTGATGGTTTTGTTAAAATGACGTGAAGATTACGTAATGTTATTTTTTTAAATTATTTTTTAAATTGCTCCTTCACAAAATTCTTCAACTTTAATTTCGGTGTTGTGAATTTCAAATGTTTCATAAATTTTAACAAAGGAAAAAACTTGCAGGTCAAAATTTTTTTGTAAATTTTCAGTTCTCGCAAGTTGAGTGATGCTAATTTGAAGCAGAGGCGGAATGCGGGAGTTGATTAATATTTATGATTCCCTTCAGCACCAAACTTCCAAGAAACATCAAAAGTGAAGATGTGATGAATGCGATTTATTTTGAGACTATTTAATTGATGGGACAATTACTTTTAAACTTATTCACTAAGCAGTTATTTCGCGCAAATATTTGACGCAATGAAATTAAAAGCCCGTATCGTGCGGCGATTATGTGTTGAAGAGCGCTGGCAAAGAAGCAAGCAAGCTCCTTCATTTTCTTACGTAGCCGCATTCAAACACCAGGCAGATGATTTAAGCCTGCATTGTAACATGGGGCATGTATGTTTGTGAGCAGGTTTTTAAAATAAATATGCATGCATGCATGCATACACGTGAATGCGTTCATGCACGCATGCATATACAGACACACATAGACGAAGCACATGCACACATACACGAACTACGTGCATACTCCTATCCTATCCATATACAATGTTTTTACTTTCCCGTTAATAATTGAAATATATCAGCATTTGCTTACTTTTACTTCCATATAAGCATAAACTTGTTTGCATGCGAGCATTGCACATCTGCTACATGCATGCATGCATGCACATAAACATTCACATACATGCATGCATTGTACATTCGCATACATGCACCGTACATTTGTATATATACATACATTAATTGTACGTTTGAATTGAAAACATGCACTGTACATTTGCATGAAGACATCACACCTCCTCCTCCTCCACCTTAATTCCGAAGTCATTAATTCCAATTAAAAGAGCATTTAGAGTTTAAACCATAACCAGCATTTTCTTTCTTACAAAAACAAACCTGCGTTCAATTAGAAGTTTCACAAAAATATTGCACAACTAATATTAACAAGTTGGTCTGACGCTGCAATGGATCTGGTTTGATGGCGGGACGTGACGCTGATACGAGGATGTCATGTGACATGATGATGTAATAGTAATGTAAAGTATATGATGTATGCTGAACTGCTGATTCACTGACCACAACCGAGGAGATGTTATTTGAAGGATGTGATAGAATGATGAAATGTTGATGTAATGCTGTTTTCCAGCTGTGAAGATGGGCTGATCATACTGTAACATGATAATGCGTTATGTTACGATGCCTAGCTGATGTGGTTATACAGCGATGAGTCGTTGTTGATGTGTTTGTTGTTGATGTGATGACAGGGCGGTGTGCTGTTGCTGTGAAAATGATATGATACACATGTAATGTGATCCCATGATGACGCGAATCCGATTCAATGTTGATGTGATAATGTTGGGATGTGCTTGAAACAATATGATACAAATGTAATGACGTGATGATGCTTTTTCAATGTGACGTCAGTAACATCAATTTTAATTTTATTTTATGTTCATGTGCTGATGCGATTTTAACTTGTTCGTGTTTGCTTAATGCAATTTGTATGTATGTGATGTCATTTCGTCGAAACATTGGTGTTAAGGTGTGGTGTTTATGGGCTAATATGATAGAAAATGATTGACAATAGTGCGATATGTTGACAACAAATTGATGTGATATTGATGTGATAATGCAATGTGATGTTATAATGTGATGTGATAATGTGATGTGAAAATAAAAAAATCATGCAGAGGACCGGCTTAGAAATTTTACAAGCATCTTCGACGTTTTAAAATTTT